TCCGTCGCGTCGACGCGTTACGAAATTGGTAAATCGTCGAAGGATGAAAAGACGAAAAGGAGAGAGAGAAGGATGACGCGGGAGGGTCGCGGGACGCGACGAACACGGGACGGCGCGAGGGGGCGGCGGAGAGCAGAACGTCCGCGATAATCCAGTCGATCCTCTCTCGAATTCTCCGTTACGAATAATAAACTCGCCGACAAAGTGGCCGACTATCCCGGCAACTGAACAGGGACCGAGCATAGACGCCTTCCACGAATCGCTTTTTTCCGTTTCGACCTTCCGTGCCGTAAAAGGAGAGCCGAGTTCTCGAAGAAGGACGCCTCGTCGCACCGCCTCGCGTCGCTCGCTCGGCTTTACGGTTCTTCGGATAAATCGATTTTTTCCACAAATCTTTGCCTTTCGGGTGGTCGCGATCCGAACGCGTCGCTTTCTCCTTCTCTCCTCTTTACCGCTCGTCCAACGTTTCTTTCGTTTCCTTCGGCGATCCGCGCGCGTCACAAAACGGAAACCGAACGAGCACGGATTCGATCGCGTTTTAATTTAGCGTCGTCTTCGGTCTTTCTCTCGACGGGAATCGATCGAAAATCTCCCTCTCTTTGATCGTATCCCTCGGCTTCGACGAGTCGTTCACCCGTTCCTCGTTTCGTCGCTTTTCTCTCTTCGTCGAGACTCTCGAGTCTGGTTTTCCGCTCGAACGAACACGATCGTTTCGCGCGCGCTCCCTCGAACTCGGCCGGTCACTGGATGTGCCCTCGAGTCGTTCCCGGTCCCTCGGAGTACCATCGGGATCGTTTTACGTTCGTTTCCGCGCAAACTTCCCTCTTGCTCCCTCGTCCTATAAGCTAGAAGTCGAGCGCTTTCCTCGAAAAGCGGTCGAAAGGAACCGGGCGCGCATCGTTCTTCCGATTCGAGGCTTCCCGCCGTTGGTCGCGTTTGGTCGCGGTTATCCTTTCTCTTTTCCAGGTCCGTATCGGCTGAACGCGCGACCTGGCTTTACGATCACGGAACGTTGACCCGACGCGACTGGAAGTGGCAGAAGTTGCTTCTCGGAACGGCCGATAAACGAGAGAGAAACGTCGAACGCGTCGCCAGCGTTATTACCTCGGAGACGAACGAACCGAGAGCGCGCGTCGCGGTAACCCAAGAGACGCGCAGTTTAAGAAAACCGACGCACGGGTATTTCCGCTTACTATCCGATGCATTCGTCGACCGTTTCTGGCTCGTTCGCAGCCTGTATCGCGCCGTTACGAGAGCC